GCAAAGGGGGAAGGCAGCCCTTAGTGACTGAATCCAAGTATTTGCACAGATAGGCCACTGGGTACTCCCAAGGATTGACAGTCTGAGTAAGCAGCATTGTTTTTGTGAACTCAAGGATCCAGATTTTATAGAAGCCAGCAGCTCTTAAGAAATTTGCATTTTTTTCTTGTAACCAGTTTCTGCCAGATACTACAGCAGAGCTTTTATGCCTTTCTAGCAAAATGGCTGTCATTAACTGAAATGTTTTTTGAAAAAGGAAACAAGTTTTTGAATCTCTAGGAGGCTGAGTCCAGGTCAGTTAATCTTTGAATCTAGAACTGAGGTCTTTGCAAGGAGGGGCTGGCTGACAGAAGCCAACTGAAGGCAGAAGAAAGCATTCTTTAGGTCCAGGCAGGTATACCAGCAGGCTGTGGGTGGCAGAAGACTGAGGCAGTGTATACGAAGGGCATTTGTGGTGGCATTGACAGCTGGGAGATCTTGAGCTAGTTTTATAGGCAGGAGAGGCATATTTTAGCAGATTGACAGTGTATAGACATTTTTTTGGGGGGCGGGTGGTTTCTGGTCCCGGGAACCAAACTCACGACCTTGAGCTTGCCAGGCAGGTGCTGTGCTGCTGAACTAAATCCCCAGCCCCTAGTGTATAGACATTTTTCAGTTTTGAAGCCTCATTTTTTTTTTTTTTCCTTGCTGTCTGAAAATAGTGGGAGAGTTCTTAAACCCTTATGGCAGTTGAGTGGCCTTTGGTCTCAGGATTTTCCTAGTTGAAGAAGCTTATGGCAGCAACTTGTAAGCAGAGGAAGGCATCTTTTTTTGATGGCACAGAGATCTTGCTCAGGGTGATTAACAGTCTATCAGGCTGATGTGTGGCTAGATGCCTGTTTGTGTTTCCTGTGACATCTGACAGTTTTGGGGGTCATGGGGAGGTGGCATGGTTGATGGCCAGTCCTGGAAATGAGTCTTGGCTCATATCTCTGGGAGGAGAATTTTCAGAATTTCAGCATTGTAGTTATTTGTCTCAGGCTGATGCAGGCATAATCTTTTTCTAAGGGAACAGTCAAAGTTGAAAGTACTGGGTTAAATGAGAGTCTCACTGGCTTGGTGTGAAGGTGTCCTTCCTGTTGTCTGTCTGTGCCTGGTAGAAGGGGCAAAAGGCAAGAGTTCTGCCCTGGTGATGGTAACTTTTTGACAGAGGACACTTTTAAAGGCAGAGAGTTCTGTTTTATTGTCTGCCAGAAAAGTCACAGGTTTGCCCCTGACTTCTGCAATGATTGTGGGTTGTTGGGGGCCCAATTTGATTTCGCTCAGTCTGTCCTGTCCAGCCACAACAGGGTGCAACTCATTTGTCAGGGATGACAGTCCAGTTTTTCCTCTGTCAAAATGTGGAACTCAGAAAGAATTGTTGACAGTCATCTTGGGTGGGCATTAGATAACACTATCTGACTAGGATAGGTATGTGTGTGAGGGGCTGTGTGGCTGAATGGAGGCAATGGCCAGCTGGAACAAGATCATTTGGCTGAAAGTAGATGAATCAGGAGCAGGGAGTGAAGCTATATGTGTTGGCAGCAACTGTGGCAGCCAACAAGGGTGCCAAAGCAGAATTCTCAGGAAGAATGGGCCTCTTTTTCCTTACTTTTTTTTCTTTGAGATGCAGGGAGCGGTTTGGTTTCATTTTTAACTCCCTAACAGCCCCTATTCCTGCGGTCAGAGACTCTGGGTTTTAACAAATTAGTTCCCATTCTATCTCCCTACTGTGTGTGTTGTATATCCTTGAACGATGGCACAACAGACAAAGGGGTGGGTGCCCCTCAGAGAGAGTCCATTCAGATGCCTGCCTGGCCGTACCCCTTGTAGGGACTTAGGCGTGACTTAGCTAAGGAAGGGGCAAGGCCTCCTTTATGCCATTTGTCGGTCACCACGGAACTGCAGGTGAGGGCCCAGTCAGTCACTGCAACCAGTACTTTGCAGTCTCGGTGCACAGACAGAGCAGCCTATTGCTTACACTGTCCAGTCCATTCACTCATACAGTCATTCCACAAGCACTCAGAGGTTAAACATTCCAACCCCCCTTCCCTTGAGGGTGGCCTTAACTAACATGTGTGGATCAAGCTCTTCTGCTTGAACTCAGCAGGACTGACTAACTGGGGTGCCCCTGGGGATCTTACCAGAATTAGGCAGGCAGGCAGCCAGACAGATTGTGTCTGCCTCCTTTTGAGGTCTGATGTGAGCTGCTTGAATGGCGAGCCAGGAATCCTCCAGATTTCTGAGAGGACTTGAGAAATCTCAAGGGCGTGCCTTCCCATTGGGTCCTGGAGAGGTCCTTGCTCTGTCCATGACGTCCATGACCAGTGACCAAAGAGGTCAGCATGTTCGTCTTGGCCAGTGCACCTGTGCAGTGGCAGACAGAAGCACGAAAATGACACCTACAGTTTGGAGGTAGATCGATTTACGTAAACAGGCACTGATCAGGATCACTCCCAGAATGTTAGGCCCTGATCTCTGGTGGTCTACGGCTTATATGAGATAAGCAAGAAGGAAGTACAGAGGCAGAATGCCTTGGCAGTTGGGGATTGGCTTATAAAGTGTGCATCATCATGACCAGCCGTTTGTAAAAGACAGGAGCAACTGGAACTGGAACAGGAACTATTACCTAGGCAACTAACAAACTGAAGTATACTGGCTGGGAGGGTGCATTTTTTGCTACAGCGTGTATGTTGAATCTTTTCACTTTATTTTTCTTGTCTCTTAACCTCTTGTGTTGCTTTTGCTTCATTGTGGGTAATTTCCTCTGGCCTATTTTCCAGGTTACTCATTGTTTTCAGTTATATCACAGCAGCTCTTAAATATCATTGACTTCCTAACTATATTGTTCATTTCTAGAAATCCTATTTAGTTCTTTTTAGTTCTTGCCAGTGTCTTTCTCGTGTATCATGTGTTAATCTCTTATTTCTTGAAATATATTAAATATATTCTTTCTCTTATAATTCTAGTATTTCTGGACCTTTTGAGTTTGTGATTTTTTTTATACTGAATTGTTTTCTCCTGTATTCAATTTTTTTGTTGCTTTTTAATTCAAAAAATTATTTTGGAATAGTTTTAAACTTAAGAATTGACAGACTGACTAACTGGGGTGCCCCCAGAGGTCTTATCAGAATCAGGCAGACAGACTTAGTGTAGAGAATCTTGTCTGTTCTTTACCCAGATTCTTCTAAAGTTAAAATCTTTTCTAATTTGTTTAAACTAAGGAGATAAATATTGGCACAATATTTTTACTAAGAATTTACCAGTACTTCTATTGGTGTCCTTGAGCTCCAAGATTTCCAAGATTCAGTACAGAATACTACATTGCATCTGGCATTAATTGATTTTTTTTATTGAATTCATGCTTCCTGGAACTTTGTGGACATTCTTCGAGGTCTCTGTTTAAAGTGAATTCTTTCAGATAGAATTTGCATTTGCTTCCGCTTCTGCTATAGAAAGACATTTTATACCTGGCGTGTGTGTGTGTGTGTGTGTGTGTGTGTACATGTGTGTGCACTGAGTCTTTTACTTAGGAATTCATGTTGGAACTTTGTCAAATAGTGTGATTTTTAGTCCCAAGTTCAGACTTTTGATGAGCAATCTTAGGTGTTACTTCTTCCTACTTAGATCCAAAGTCCAGACAGGCAAGTTTCCTTCTATAGGATACTTTTCTTTTTTGAATATTTATTCACTTAGAGTCACTTATTTGCAAGTTCCAAGTTGAGTGGGGGCCAGTGCCTTTGATCTGACCTTTCACTCTTGTTGACTCTACTTATGTTTCAGGTCTCCTTCATATGTGTTAAATCCGTGCTCTAAGCCAGTGATGAGTAGCATAGCTAGCAGAGTATGGATTATAGTCCAGTTCTGGAAGTTGGCCTCAATTTGTATGGTTTGCAAGCTGAGGATGAGTTTTGCTGTTTTTAGAAGGTTATGAGAAAAGATGACTATGTGACAGATTATATGTGGCCTACATAGCCTGAAATATTTACTTTGGTGTGTGGCAGAAAAGTTTGCTGTTCATTGTCCTAAGTATCAAGGATTGTCTCCTTAAGCATTTTTTTTTTTTTTTCAGCTGTGCATTAAAAAAGCTTTTGTTAGTGGGGTGTGGTGATGCACGCTTGTAATCCCAGCACTCAGAAGGCTGAGGCAGGAGGATCATTGCGAGTTTGAGGCCAGCCTGGGCTACAAAATGAGCTGAAGGCAGCCTGAACTGCATAGAGAGACCCTGTCTCAAAAAGACCAAAAAAAGAAAAACTTTTTTGAGGGTTTGGTTTTGTGCTCCCTCCCCGAACTGGGGATTGAACCCATGGCCTTCACTGTGAGCTACCTCTGCAGTCCTTTTGAAACTTATTTTGAGATAAGATCTTGCTAAGTTGCCAGGCTAGCCTTGAATTTGCCATCCTCTTGCTTTAGTTTCCCGCAGTGCTGGGATTACTAGTGTGTACTACCATGCCTGACATTTTTAATATGTTGATGTTTTGTTGTACTGGGGTGGAAGTCTAAGTCTTTTATTGTGTTTCAGTTAATTTTTTTTTTTTTTTTGGCACTGGGAATTGAACTCAGGACCTTGTGCTTGCCAGGCCAACACTGTCCCTGAACTATATCCCTGGCCCTATTGTATAAGTTTTTAACTAGTCAGTTTTTTCATTTGTTTTATTTATGGCTTATAAGGCTGAACAGTTTCTGTACGGCTTTTGTTTATTTATTTTAATCTTAAAACTTTATTAAATATTTTTTGGATATGGTTGTAATTTTTTTTTTATTCTACTGAAAAAATAATATGTACCTTCACCTTAAATTTTATATGAATATATTTCTCTAACAAAAAAAACCCTATCAATTTGTATTCTAATCAGTAGTACAGAAGTATTTCCATCTCACTAAACTCTTACATATATTGGATATTATCATTTGAAAAGATGCTTTAAATATTTTATGCCAAAAATGGTATCTTAATGTCTTTGCTTCCTTTTTTTTCTAAGTCACTAAGATTGTTGGATGAAGAAGAGGCAACTGATAATGATTTAAGAGCAAAATTCAAGGAACGCTGGCAAAGAACACCATCCAATGATCTCTATAAACCTTTAAGAGCAGGTAAAAATACCTTTAAATGACCTTCACTTGAATAGATTCCTAAATTGGATCCAGATTTTTTACTGCTTAGATTCAGTTGTAAAATTGTGTTTACTGAACTGTGTACTATTATGAAAACCCAGGTGTTTTCCTCAGAGTAATATAAAGATTTAAGAGAACAACTGTAGAAAGTTTAGACTCTTAGGAAGGATATGAAGTAAAAATTAAAGCAATTCTCATTTTTCCAAGCCATGCATGTACTTTAAAAACATACGAGATCATACTATATGTTTTATTTTGTTACTACTTTTTCATTATTTTTTTTAACCTAGTAATGAATCCTAGGTGGTTAAAAAGTGAGTTTAACAGTTACTTTGAAGTCAGAATTATGCTTTTCAGATTGTTTACTCAGATTTCGTAGTTAGGATAAAGAATATCTTCGTTGTAGGAGGAGACTTTTTTTTTTATCTCTGTAAAAGGGATAAATACTTTTTAGATTTTTTGAAAGTTATATTTGTTCTTCTAAGTTTAGAGAAGAATACTTTTTAAATAAGGTCTGTTAGTTTTTGGAGGGAATGATTTCTTTATATTTATAAGTGGCAGGAATAGATTACACTGATGTCAGTTTGCTTTCATTTGGCAGTCGCTAAGCTGAAATGTATTTTAAGGTGTGGCTGTACACTTCATGTTTATAAGTGATTTTGTCATTTTTCCAAAAACAGTACAAGGATTGACAGGAGCCACATCATCATTATCTAGTGAATAGAGGCTTAGAAGAGGGAAAGATAAGTGAAATTGGGGACCAGAACTAAAATAGTACAACTAACCCATGAAGCATTGCTGTTAGAATCACTGCTATTTTGAAACTTTTTCCTCTACAGAGGGTACTGGCTTCAGAACAGTTTTAGATAAAGCTGTGCAAGCAGATGGACTAGTAAAAGAACGTTACCAGTCTCATCGTGACACCATTTCACTTCTCTGTAAACCAGAACCAGAACTGAACGCTGCTATCCCCTCTGCTAACCCAGCAAAGACCCTGCAGGGCAGTGAGGTGAGAGGGTGGTTTTTGATGTGGCTGGTCATTTGCTTATGAAAACTATGTTCAAATCATTATATATAATGAACTGTTAATGTCTTATTGTCATCTTTAAAAAATGCAGAAGTTGGCAGGTGGTATAGTTGATAAGAGTGCTTGTGTAGATGCACAAGGCTCTGGGTTTGATGCCTAGCCACACACATGTGCATGTCCACACACATGCATGGGTACTCACACCCACACCTACACCTATATGTGTGTAAATATATACAGAAGTAAATTTGAGATATTACATTGAAAGTAGCATTATATACTCTGGGCGATAGGTAATTATATTAATATGTTGTAATATTTTTATTTATGAATGTCTTATGAGCTAGATGCTGCATTCTAGGTATATCATATATTTACAATATTTTACTAAGGTTTTATAAAAGGAATAACTTGGAAGTAAAACTTTTCTGAAATAAAGAAGATTATTGTTTGTCTAGATACTCTTTGGAACACAAATTCTTTGTTTCTTACAATTCTGTACTTACTGCCTTCCACCGTATTCCACTGGGACTATTTTTAAAGAGAAAACTGACAGGATATGCTGTTAATAAATGGACAGTGTCATAATGGTATTTCTAATGATAAGAAAAAGGAGAAAAGGAATAGCAAATCAGAGATTTGAGAGAGGACAAAGTGCAAGTATAACTTAATGGCTGGTAAGTATAAAGTAGGAAATAAGATAGAGACTCCAAGAGCACAAGAAAATAAGCCAAAGAGCAAGAAGTACTGTTGAAAGTTTTTAAAAGATGGATTTCTTGGGATAATAGATTTGAAAGTTATCAATATTTTTTTTTTCTGTAATTTCATATATATATGTATGTATTCAAGCAGGACTTACTGTGTTAGGCATTACACTAAATATTTCAAAAAATTAACAAATGAATCATACAGTATTTACCCTTAAAGTCTAGTGTGAAATATTGGTCATGTACAAAAATAACTGTAATAAGGGGTAGAAGTTTGAAATTCATCAGGGAAAGTGTAGAAAGTACATTGTAAGGATCAAGAACTTAAATTTCAGCAGTTTGGAGCCCTTCTCTTAGCAGACTTAAGAAGTTGGCACATTATGAAAATACAATGGATATGGGGAGAAAGAGTGAACATGTGTAGGATCTACAAAGAACTGAGTTAGTGTATCTTAAGAACTGCAGACCTAGGGAATAACAATAATTTCTGGTACTATTTTTGTTCCATTTTTATTGTAGAAACAGTCTCCATGTAGTATTCCTTCCTTATTCTTTTTGGTGTCTTGTATATGACTCAGAATTTATATGGCTCTGATGATTAGGGTGGTTGGCTTTGGGATTGGACCCAGGGATTGGTAGAGCACATTTCTAGGAGTGTCAGGGTGGGACATGGAGGCAAGGCCTGAAGGTCTGTGTCTAGTCCCTTGCCCCTTGCTCTCTGGCACAGTTTCCCTTCTCTGTTTCCTGGCTACCATGAAGCAAGCAGTTTTGGTGTACCTCCCCCTTCTGGCATGATCCTGCCTTGCAGCCAGTTTACCGTGGACTGAATTTCCTGAAAACATGAGCCAAGTTAATCCTCTCCTTTAAGTTTGAGTATTTGTCCTCTGACCCTTCTGCTTTCAGTAGAAAAGCAAAGATGGCTTATGCTAATCAAAGTCAGAATTATTGTGAACTAATTTGTTGATACTTTATTCAGATGTAACGATAGATGCTTTTGTTAATCTTTAGTGGTATTATATAGGAAAAAAACCTTTTATAATCAATGTGAGGTTGTTTTATTGATGCTAGATTTTCCAGACAGAGATAACCAGAAAAAGTGCAGTGTTCTTTTGTATGTTCATGCATCATAACCCTGTATCAGTTAAGGCAAACATTGCATGTTTATAAAAGCTACTTCAAGCTGATGTCATAGTAGTTGAATGTTTATGATAAAAACTCAGTCATTTGGCTTGATTGAATTAATAAAGTAATACACCACACGTATTTTATGAAGACATCTAAGCTGATAATTGGGCTATTTTTACTTTTATTGTGAAGAAACCTACTGTCTTTTTTTAGTTTCTTTGAGCATCTAGTTTTAGATACTGAGATACTCTGAAATATTTGCAGAGTATTGGCAAGTTGTATATTAATACTGTGGACTACTGCTTGTAATTATGCACCTTTGATCCACTGGAGTCTGAAACCTTCTCTAGTTGGCTTCACTGTACAGCTAAGTCCTACCAGAGGAAAGAGGATCTTTATTTTTCTGCATAAAGGTATTACCTGTTTATACTCACAATGCTGCCTTTAGCTGGGGTAACTGAGGGATGCCTTTGGAAAGAACCTTGCCCTCCTCAGAGGCACTGTATAAAGAGCACTCTGCAAAGCTGTGTGCTCTCCCTGAGGAGGATCCTTTTTTTTATTTATTGTATAGAGGCATGTTATAGACTAGTAGATGATCTGTAGACATAGTTTTTACTTTTGGTTTTTCATAACTGAAATCTTGTAGACAAGTGGTGAGAAGGGCTGGAATCTTTATTTCTTTACCAACATTTGTTTAAGGTCTACTGTATGCCAGCAGCTGTGCTGACTACCATGGTCTCTAACTAGAGGGATGAAGAACCCCTCTAGGTTAGCTTTGGTTAAAGGTAAATGCATCAGGTTCTTGGATTTCTGTTGTTGTAGAGATAATCCTCATGTTAGTTTTTTTCTGCAAATAAAATGACAGCTCAGAAAAGTAAAATTGAAAATTCCCTTGAGAGCAGTTCTTAATGTACTTAATTGTATTAGGTGTTGGTAAAAGCCTCTCAGAACTTCTAATCTTAATATTAGGGTTGGAAACTTTTGGTTATGGGCCAGATCCAAATCACCTCTGGCTTTTGTATGGTTGGTGAGCTAAGAAAAGCTTTTACATTTTTAAATGGTTGGAAAAAGTCAAAAGAAAAATGTTTCGTGATGAGTGGATATTATATGAAATTTAGATTTCAGTGCCCATAAATACACTTTTGTTGTAACCTAGCCAGCTTATTAATTTACATACTGTCTTTGGCTATTTACTACAGAGGCAGAGTTTAATAATTGAAATAGAGGCTGATCTACTAAGCCACAAGTATTTTCTTTTTGACCCTTTACCAAAAAAGTTTGTAGCCACTACTCCAAAAGTCAAGAATAGATAGATAATCCTCCTTTCTGTTCTGCTTCACCTCATCTCTTCACACTCTGCCTTTTGTTTCTGTACTTCAGCTAGTGGCTTTTTTCTTTCCCTTAAGCCAGTCAAGCTTCTTCCTGCTTTAGGACTTTTTTTTTTTTTTTTTTTTTTTTTGTTTTTTTAATTTTTTTTTTTTTTTTCCGGTACTGGGAATCGAACTCACGACCTCGCACTTGCCAGGCAGGCGCTGTGCCGCTGAGCTAAATCCCCAGCCCCTGCTTTAGGACTTTCACCTTTGCACTTTCTTTTTTAAAAAGTTATCTTTATTAGTACATATTTGTGGTACCTAATGATTGTATTCTCTGCAGGGAATTGGTACATGTACATAAAATATTTTACTTCTTTCCCCTCCTTTCCTCTACTCCCCTTTTATTTTTCCAGCATCAGATTCATTTGTTTATAAGACCGTATAAAGTTAATTATCATATAAATAGACTGAAAACCAGACTAATAGGCCAGGGATCTTTAAAACATGTAAGACACTTGTACTAAATCAAGATATACTTTTAGATACGTTGTCCACACTGGATTACTTTACCTTTTTTTTCCTGTCTTTTTTCCTTTT